TGGACCTCGGGGTTCCGCGGCCTTGACCTCCGCCTTTGCCGCGATCTTGCCTTAGGCCTGTGACCGGCCTTCTAGCCGTCGGAGTGAGGCCGGCTGTAAGGTTATGAGCCTCCATTTTGAGTAGGGGGTTCCTGTGGAAGCGTCTAGGATTTGGGGTCGCGCCTCTGTCCCCAAGGGGTTCGACATCAGGAGGCCCTGATAATCCACGGCAGAGCTTCTGTCACGCGTCCGCACCCTCGCAGATGGGGGAGGCCCGTGCCACCACACCGCCTCTCACAAAGGTTTGAAATTTTCAGACACCCGTCCTAATTACTTCTGCCTGGTAGATCCAGCTCTTCAGGCGTGCAGCAGGCCCGATCAGAAATGAAATCAACTGCGGCGAGGTCTTGGCTGCCTTCGCAAAGGCGTTTTTCTGCACTAGCGTCTTTTTCTTCCCTTTCCCACATCATAGTATTTTTAAATAACAAGCACCGCTCTGGCATTCCTCGATGCTAGGTAGATGCACAAGCACTGAGTGGATATTCTCATAAAGAACGAAGCAGGCTGTTGTTTACCCAGCGGCCATGCAGATGAAAACTTAATTAGCGTGCCTGTCCTAAACCGAAGCATAAATCTGCGCGAGGCCTTTGGGACAACGCTACATCTTTGCTTATGAAAAATGGGAGGCGAGCGACTTGCTACACATTTCTCTGATTCTCCAGGTCTTGGGCTGCTGACACGCATTCGATCAAGTTTAAAGGAATGTGCATAAATCAGCAACCCCCTAGCGTCTCCCTGCTAGAGATCCGCAATTCCAGAAGGGCGCCTCTGAACCCCCCAGGTCTGGGGCTTGGCAGTCCAGGACTACCTTCCTTTCCCGATTTCTAAACTCAAAGTGACAGACTGAGACACCGCATCTTCACCCGACTTACCAAACACAAACAGCAGAGTGTAATCTGCATGTTTATATTAAGCTGAGAAATCTGGTGGTTAACTATGCACACACAAATATATTACCTTCAGCTAGCTTTCCCTGCCTCACCGTACATCTCCAAGAAAAGAGTTTGATTAGGCTGAATTTAAAAACAAAACAATACAATAACTTTCCTTTTGCTTTCCTTAAAATTTGTTTCTTTGCTTCTCCATTGAAAAATTAAATTGAATAGCTTCAGCTCTGCATCATGCACAGTGTGAAATGCACAATTACATTTTACAATCATCCACATAAAATAAATTAATGTCACAATATTAAAGTAGATGGAAAAATTAAAGTCCCATATTTCTATTTCTTTCCAGAAGACTTTTTTTTTTTAGGAAAAAAAAAGTTGAATCAGGGTTTCAAGAACACTATCTATCTCTGGGTTCCATGTCTGGCATTATCATTTCTATTTTCCAGGGTGGTATCTTCCTGACTGTCTTTGTTCTAAAGGTTTTTATGCTGATTTCTAGCTAGGCATTAAGGAGCCATCATAATCCATGTCTGCCTCAGCTTATCTGGTAGATTCATGGACATTTTAAATCAGAAGGGAGTTAGGGGAGATTGACACCATCAACAACCATTTTAGAACTGGGTAGTTGGGGGGGGGAATTGACATATTTTCTGTCATTACAATTTCAAAAACTGGAGAGAAGAAAAAAAGCTTATTACTTTACCCAGGGTTCCTGCCGTGGTGAGGGTGGTGTTCCGGAGCAGAGCTGCTGCTGGTCTCTGTCCTAGGCCCTGAGGCTCAGAATACTGCTTACATAGATGTACATATATATGTATGTGTACACATATATATGTATTTATATGCTCCCACCACCACCAACAGAAGAGTTCCCTTAGGAGCATTTCTTAAACACACTGTGTGATCCAGCTTTGAGGGGATTTTTCCACCACTTTAAACATTTTGGGAGATCTTTACTTTGCTTGATGGTAACTCATTTAGAAATGGAGTTGTGGAACAAGATGTGAAAAAGTAAATCTGAAGCAACAGTCATTTGTTTTCACAAGTGGAATAAAAATTCTCAGGGCAGTAAAATATGATTGCACTTCACAAGACCATTTGATAAGTATGTTTCATGGATATTCCTTTTTTTTGCTGTTTGAAATAGCTTTATACTCTTTGCATCATTCTTCATCTATAAGGAAAGTTTCAGTCTTCAGGCAAAATTTCCATTAGCCAGGTTTAAACCAATCAATATTTTCCATCAAGTAACAAATATGGCTCTTCTATTCACTATTATTGTCTTCTAACATAAAGATCAAATTAATATGCATCTGAAAATTCTGCATCCCAAAACTATTGGTTCTACCAACATTTTAATACATGTGTGCACAGCATGGGTTTGACAAAAAAGTTATGTTTATATAAAATACATAAACATACATATGTATTATTTATGACTTTGAACACATCACCTAATGTGTTGTTAGGGGTCAATAAACAGTAGCTATAATACTTATTATTATTATAGTTTTGACGGTGGTTGTTAGTATTAACATACTTATTTCTCCCACAAATCAAATGGCAGATTCAAAAGCATCAGTATTAGATTGCACCCCCCCAGCAGCACTCAACTCTGAAATATCCAGGGTAACTCTCCTTCTACATCCACATTATGGTCATTTTATAGATATGAGATATTTAAGTTTTCCTTACTGAGCTCTCAAGAAATAGGATTCTTTGATTTTAAGTGTAATTCTAGGACTCTAAAGTTAGGAAGGTATTTGAAACATTATATTCACCATGCAGACTCCTTATAGCTCTAATTAAGGTGGTAGACCACCAAGGAGGGAGAGAGCTAGGAAAGAATGGTTGTTTAAGAACATCTCTTAGACTGTACCAAAATCGTACAGCTTTAAAGCAGATCTGCAGAAATCTGATGCAGAGCGAGCTGCTGTAAGAACAAATTAAACTTGGCCATTAAAAAAATGAACAAATTTTCATCATGTAGAGTACATTTTGTACCTTAACTCTAGGAATCACCTTAAATTATAATGTCTTCAGTCATCAGCAATTAATGATACTATCTATACCTGTACAAATTGTACAATTATACACACAAGCACACACAAGCACAGATATGCACATGTATACATGTATACACATATATGATATATATCCACATATATACAAGCACATGTATAATTTACATATTTTCAAATTGGCTCCATTTGGAGCCTAAGAAACCAGTACTAATTCTCTAATACAAGTCAAGGAGGTAAGAGCTCTAGATTTCCTTGAAGCTAAAGAATTACAAGGAGGCTTGTCAACACAAGGTGGCGCCCTTGATCTACTAATCCAGCAGAGGCCAATTCATGAGCTGTCAAAAGTCAAGGTCACAAATTGTCTTTCCCCCCCCCCAAGGTCAAGGTTTAAGGCCTTTCCTAGTCCTGTCATTTCAACAAATATCAAAACCTGCCCTTTCAAACACATGACTACCCAACAGCAGATTTTAAAATACAACAGCCTAGGCACTGCTCATACTAAACAACTGGTTTTCATTTTCCACAGGGGAGCCTGGGAATTTATCCTATCTCTTCCTCCTTTCTTTTCTGTTCCTTGCAAAATACCTGACACTTTCATCTCCTTGAAGCATTCTTATTTTTTAAATAATTTTGCTTCTGAGGGATTTTCTCTGTTCTTAAAAAGTTCAAATTTTTCTTAAAAAAGCAAATCATAATAATAGAAAAGAATGGTCCTTGGTTTGTATAAGACAAACCTGCTCCTTTTCTTTTTGTATGGCGCACATTTAATATCAGAAAGTAAGAAGTATTTCTTTTGGATTTTAATGGCAGTAACTATTTTATTAACAGAATTAATATCACTATATCACTATCTACAGGTCGAATATTTTCATGTTTAGTGGAAATATTTTTAAAAAGCAAGTGCACAAATACATTTCACAGTGTGCTGAATGTCTTTATTTACAAAATAGCATTTTATGGTGAAAATGAACAAAACGAATGTGCGAGTTGCAATAACTGCTTGATTTAAAATGTGCTGTGAAGATGAATCCCTAAACTTTCTAATGCGGTCTCATAACACAATAAACAAGGCAAAGTAGTAATCCCCTAAAAGATCAAAATATAGAATGTGGACATTAAATATTTCAGAGAAATTGATTTACACTTTGAGTTCTCTCTCTCTCTCTCTTAAAGGAAAACAAATTCTCCAGCAAAGTGTCTCGCAAATACTGGGAAATGTCTATTTAAATTTTAAAAAATGAACTGCATTTTCCAACCAAAGCCCAACATGTTAAACGGAAAGATTTCACATTAAAGTGAATCCTGAACATTATTTGGTGAATTAAAATGTTTTTAATGATATCCAATCCCTTGGAAGATCTCTGATCTTGGGGTACTCCAAATGCCACAGATACACTTCTTAAAGTAATTGGAAATTACTGTCGGAAATTCATTAGCAATATAGGGTTCTCTTGTAGCCTTAATGGCTTAGCCTGCCGTATTTGCTATCAACTGATCCTCAGAAGATCTCTCTCTTCTTTCTCCCTTCATAAGTAGTTCGAGATCATTATTTCATTACCTTCTCTTCCCCCCTCTAAATCTATACATGAAACTTTTTTTTTCAGAACACACAATGTTAGGAATTTCACTAAGATTTACCTGAGCAGGCATTTAACATGCAAAGGGGACTCCGACCTAAGAAGGACAAGCAGATGTTTCAAACAGCCTCTTGCTTTTGGAACCAACTTCCAGATTATTTACCATCTAACACAATATCCTAAAATATAACAGTCACATAAATACTTACAAGATTTTAGTAAATTCGTAAGGAATCTGAAATTTCGTATCTGGGGGTTGATGTTTTGACTCTAGAGTTTGTCATTTAATGATCTGGTAGGGTAGGCAGAAGAATTGGTAGTCTTTATCATTTCCTAAAGTATTTTAAACGTTGTAGGTTCCATTAAAGAGAAAGAAATTCCTCCTTAGGAGAGCAAAAAACCCAGTGTCTCTCTTTCCAACTCTTCAATTATTATTAAGCATCGTTATCATTATGTGAGCAAAGCAACGAGTTCTGAAGCATTTCTTCAAGTTGCCCTCCGCTCCAGTTTTAAAATCCATTAACTGGTAGTCTTCAGTTTGTTGATAACTTTTTTCTCTTTGACCCTCCTGTTCTGGAACCAGATTGTGACCTGCCGCTCTGAGAGGTTCGTCGTGGCTGATATCCTCCTCCGTTTGTCCTTGGTAATGAATTTGTTCGTGGCGTATTCCCGTTCAAGTTCTTTTAATTGCACCTTGGTGTAGGGCACCCGTTTCTTTCTTCCTCTCCTATAGGAGCTGGCATCCGAGGGGTGAGAAACCACGTCTGGAAGATAAGGGAGAAGGCAAGTTACACAGGGAGCAGACTGGAGATAGGACACAGGCGACAACTCAACCTGAGCCACCCGCCTTGCAGCGCCTGGCTGTTCTTTGCCACGAGTTGTACAGTCCCGGCTTTCTGCCAAAGTCTGGTGGGTCCCTGTGGAAGATGGCTAGTTTTACACTGAAATGAAGTTGCCCACACTTCAAGGTACCGTCCCAATCGGTTATCCCGCATGTAAAGCGCGCCTGAGTTCCCTGCGTCGCCTAGGCTCGAGGCCCAGCACTTGGTGCCTGGCGCCTCTGGGCAGCCCCAACACTCGCTTCTTCTACCATGATTTTTTTTTCTTTTTTCTTTTTTAAGGGATCGAACTGGGGCAATCAGGCAAAGCCAAATATCAGGTCAGTTTTCAGCTTGAAGTCATTGTCAAGGGCTGGGGAGGGCGGGGCGCAGAGGGAGAAGGAAGCTAGCTGTGGTCCCCACATGCTCCCTCCCAGCCACCCCTCACCCAGGAAGGGCCAGGGGCCAGCTCAACTGAGGGCACTGTGGACAGCGCCAGCCAGGCGGGGTCAGGCTCCCAGGGGTGCAATGCCGCTAGGGCAAGCCAGGCCAGGAAAAAAAGAGCAAGAAGGGGCACCCGAGTGACCCCGAGTGTGAGCGGAGGAGAAGCTGGAGCAGAGTGTGAAGACCGGGTCTGGAAAGGGGGCGCCATTTACCGGGCAGAGTGGACTTCCAGAGGTGGGGAGGCTGCGCCTGCTCTTTGGGGCAGTACATTTGGCCGTTCCAGCCGTTGGGCAGCGCCCAGGGTTGGTAGCTTTCCATGGGAAGACCCAGGGGTTCGTGGCGCGACTCGCCGGGGCCCCCGAGCCCCGGCACCACCGGCATATCCAGGTAGCCAGGCACTGGCTGGTGGTGGTGGTAAGGCCCGGTTGCGTAGCCCTGGTGGTAGAAGGCGAACTCCTTAGCGCGGGAGCTGAACTCCTCGGCCGCGGGGCCGGCCGTGTCCATGTACTTGTCCGCGAAGGCGGCGGCCGCGGCGGCCGAGGCGGGCTGTGCGCACGACTTGATGGCGTTGGGGTGCGGGCCCATGCGGGCGCAGGGATAATAGCCGCTGCCGAAATAGCCATAGGGCAGCGCCGCCGGCCCCGACGAACTCTGCGCCGCGGCCGAGCAGGGGCTGCACTGCTTGGCGGCCTCGGCG